TTTGCTTTTGTATGTTCTATTATTAGCTCTTCTCAAAAACAGAAAGTAATAACAAAAACCCTTCAGTACTAAAATGATGTCAACAGTAATGAGATCAGCTTTGATGACCATGGAAGAAATCTGTTGCAGAATTAACCCCCAGTGAAACATTAAAAACTGACCTCTTTGCTTTATGGGCACCATTGCCATGGAACTTGTTATGCGTTTTATGTTTACCTTATCTCTAGAAAAATCTAGAAGGCACCTACTTTCAGTCATTATCTGAAGTTTACACTTTGTGTATTTCCTTCCCCTGTTTCTTAAAAGTAGAAAAATGGGCTTAATATTGTAATCTTACTTTAGGTGAGTAAATTAATGTTGTTATATATATTTTTTAAAAAGCAAGTGCTATTGCTGTGGTTAGTTCATTTGGAACATAGTCAGGGTTGTGTTCAAATAAAATTTGGCCAGTGGGGAATTTAGAATTGAAGATGGTGAAGGATTAATTCTGAAATTCAATTATACAAAAAAAGTCTTCTTAATTTTGTTAAGTGCTTATATCCTCTCCCCATCTCTGCATAAATTAGGTAGTTAACAACTGGAAGAATGGTCAGACTGATTCCTTTTAGACACACTCTGGGGCCTCTGATCTGCTGTGTTCATCCTCAGGTTTCTATATCCTCAGTCTATTGAGTTCTAGGACTACTGTCCTGGGGTCCTTGTCGAGGTTTTGCTGAACTATTTAGATGTGTGCAGCCACTGTGTAAAGACACTCCTTCAGAACATCATTCCTGAATCACAAGTGACCCTCAGTGACTAGGAAAATAATATATTCTCTTTGCGATGTTGTCAGCCTCCTTGACACAGTCCTTCCTTGTGTGTTCATCCTCCCATCCCTGCCAGCCCCGTACTCACTGTTTACTGCAATACATGTGTGTGGAGATGCAATTACTAATGGTAAGAAATACATTCATTGAGTTACATCAAAGTATGTGTGTACACATTGGCCTCACTCATCTTTAAATTTGAAATATTACCACCTGCTGGTATATAAGATACAAATCTGAAAAACCTAAGAACATAATATAACTTCAGGACCAATTATGCTATTTTTTAAGGAACTATGATCTGACTCCATCTGCAGAACATGATTTTGTCTCCTAATAAATTGTTATTTGTTATTTATTAATTATATGATGAATAAATGTCAAAATGTCTTAGCTTGGTATTTAGAAAATCCTTGGTATATGTATAATTGTTCGTTTCCAAATCAAACAAGATCATCAAAACATCAAAGTTTGAACAATTACTGTGTGCTAATTTGCAAGTTTCTTTCAAGCATAGTTTCAGTCAAGCCATAGGAAAACCCCTCAAAAAGTGACCTTCATTAATACAGATGATGAAACTGAAGTTGAGGAAATTTAGATAATTTTTCCTTTTTTATTTTTCCAAACCAATACTATTTTAATTCTGTATGGTAGTAGAGGACAGTTATATGAATTTTCAATGTAATATCTTAGAAATATTTATAATTTTTCTTGTCATTAATACTTGACAGGCAAAGTTGGGTATTTCCTTTGGGAAGAATAGGGTCCTGGGAGGTTATATGTATATTTACATACGTACCTTCATTTATTGAAGGAAAAACAATCTCTTGGTCATGGTTTTCATCATTAAACTCATGTTTGACAACACAAACGTGTTCTTTATCCATTGACGTTTCAGTCACCTCTAGCCAGCTTAATTTCATGTACTTATTATCATCAGTCTTTATGGGCCTTGTCTCCAGCGACTGCAGGATTTTTTTGCCATTCTTTTCTTTCCAGTCTACCTTAATAACATCAGGGAAAAAATTTTCAAGAAGACATATATATATTCCAATTTCATGAGGTTTCTTTTCATTGACGGAAGGAAGAAAAACTGTGGGCTTAGGGGGAAGGCCGATTTCGTCTGTGGGGAAAATAGAGGAGCAATTAAAATGAGTTACTGGAGAAGCACTGGGATTGTATTGTCTGGAAAAACATAGTGCTGACTGAAAGTAAGTGATAATTCATCCACAATATTTTGTGAATTCCTTATTACTGTACTTTCGAAATGTTGTTCAAGTGTTTATCTAACCTGTGCCCTACGTCATAGCTATTAAGAGGCAGAGCCTGAATTAAAGTCTGACCTTTGTTCTCTCTACATATCAACATTAACGTGAGTTTTAACTGTCCCATGTCACACAGCCCAAATTTAAGAACACATTTAGTTTGAACCTCTCTTTTGCTCTTTCTTAGTGGTACAGATTTTCAAGGTGGGTGATGGTGGAGATGAAGACCAGATAACTTTGATAATATCTTTATAGAACAGACTCTTCAAAAATAATTACATTCTCCACCCTGTGAGATTTATAACATATGCAAACACATTCTCATATTCAGCAACTCTATAGAGCATCACGCTTTACCAGACTTCTGAATGTTACCTTATTTACCATGTAGAAGATTATCATTTTTAAAAATCAGCAGTCACTTGTTTCATGGGAATCATGCGTGCTTATCAGTTCAAGTTGAACTTTCAGCTTCAGATGTGGATCCCATGCACATTGAAAACTATAGAGTTCTCCTACTTGATGTCTAATTTTATGTGGCATTCAATTTCATATCTCAACCATTCCAGGTGTTTTAGTAGGCCAACATTAAATTTGAGCTCCACATTATTTATGGTATACAAAAGAGCAATATTTCCAAAATTTCTATTAAGATATATTTTATCAGAAATGCTATACTATCATAATGTAGATATTATGTTACATTATTTATTTACTATGTTATTTGTTACATGTAATATAGTATAATATATCAGAATTTTCTTTCAATTTAGAAACTGATGAACAAAATCACATTTTATTTGGAATTTAGTTTGAAATTTAAACAGAACTTATTTTCAATATCTTTTCTCTGTATCTGTCCTGTGTGGATGACTGGTGAGCTGTTTCACAGTTCATTGATTATATTTTCTTTGTCACCTGCTGAAGAGTGTCTATATAATTTGTCTATCTCTACAAGTTACAGCTATAGAGTTATTTGAAGAAGTAATGCCAAAATAGAACACAAAACATCATACATTTAACTTTCACTAGCATGCTGAACCATTATATGACGATACATTTGCTGTTAATTAATGACTGAAAATTTCTAACTTGATTTCCGATAGAAACTCCTATCTTATACTAGTATTTGTTTTGAGTAAGTTTAGTGTAATAATTCAGTGGTGTAATTTCTTATGAAAAGAATTAAATCTCTCATTTAAAAAGAGAAGGAAAAATTCATGAGGATTCTGCCTGTGTATGAAAGCTGACGAGTTTTATACTAAAAAATTTAATCAATATTTTTTATTATGCCATACAAATAATGAATTCATATGTGTCTTTATTAATTTCACACATTCTGTTATTAATGCAAATAGTATTTGTAGAATGTAATAGTAAGATAGTATGTATTTCTCCAAACTTGTACTTCATTTTTATTTTAAAATCATATTACATAAAACATAATAATTTTTCAGTTGTGCATTACACTTTAATAATTTTAGTTTCTTGCCAATAAATTAAGTAATTTAGTTGATTCTTAGAAAGTTTCTTCTTCATAAGACTAGTTCAGATCATTGAATGAATTGAAAGTAAGTTGATATATCTAGAAATTCCTATATGGTAACAAACTATTTTTACTTCTTATCCTTATCCTCAGCTATATTATTTAAATTTCATTTTTCTCTGGATAAATTAATCCTGAACTTCCATAACATTCCTCATGTACTATATAGTTAATACGCACATTCTAACTCTTTATCTTGAATATTTTTTCCTTAAATTTTCTTTTAAAAGTTATCAGCAGTGTTGCCTTGCTTATGGTCAAAATGCATTTCATGATACAAAGAAAGTAAACCAGATTAAAAAGGAAAATAAACTTGTCCAATTCATTTATATACAATAATTTTTATATTTCAGTAATAATTTGAGTCAAAATTTCTCAGTTTTTTACGTTTCATAAGATTGACAGCATTAATTTTATATAAATTTACAAATGTCAACCAAGTTTTTAATTGAAAGCCTATTTATATTGACTGGTGTTCCAGATTTTCTTATTACATTTTTGAATAAATAAGCTATGCCAAACTAAACATCAAATTCTAATTTATGCTATTTCTAACTGTATGTAATTGATTTTACATCATTATAGCATCCAATACCAAGTATGTGTTATTATTTCATTCACAATAGCTCCTTTGATTTTCACAGAACTCTACCTGTGTATATATACATATACATATATACTGATCCCACTTAATGGGAAAGGAAAGAGGCCAGAGAATATTCAACAAGATCATATAAGCTGAAAGTAGTAGAACAGAGCTGCTGATGGGACTGACTCCAAAGTCCCAGCTCTTCTGCAAATACTTCCACCATCAAAACAGGTAATATATCAACTCACAGAACTCTCCTGTAATAATAAACTCTTTTATAAGAGAAACAATTTCATTATAGCTACATATATTATGTGTGGAACACTATATAAGTCACAAAACCAAATCATATCCTAGTATCTGCTCAATGTTGTCTATTAGATATTTTATTGTAAGGATTCATTTTAACATCTCTTCTAAGATTTCCAATGTAGTCTTCTTCACAGCCCTCTTTTTTCCTAAACATCTTACTATTAATGTAATTGGCTTTTGTTTTCCCTCAATTGCCTTGAAAAAAATTGCATTCTCTGATACCTACCGGTAATGATAAGCTTTGTTCCTTCACCGAATACTTTTACATAACTACACAGTGATTCAACCCATATCAAAAACATTAGACTAATTTAGTTTCACTGAGTTCTTCAGCTTCTAGTGAAACTTATGATTGTCTGCAATTTGAGATTAAGGCTCTGCTCCTGGCATATTTTGGTCATGAGAAGTTATGTGCATGAGTAAATCAAGAAAATTAGGTTTTCCATGCTTACTTTAAATAAAACCGTAAATGGACACTTCATTCTTTTATCTTCATAACTGTACATTTATATATTGAAGTTTCAAAACATAGCCTCATTTATTATTATAGGGAATTCCACTGGAAAATGAGAGCTCACCTAAGTATTGTCCTTTAATATTTTGGGTAAATACTTACCACATTCTAATCATTTTGTGAAGGAGGAAACTATTAGTCTTAGAAATTAAAGTTATTTTGCAAACACTGAGCATTTGTTGGAATTGTAGATAAGATGGAAATTAATACTTTCATTTGAATTCCTAATTTCATAAAGAGCTCCTAACTGTATAACTTGAATTATGGTGAACGTTAGTGGTACTCATCCCATGTCCAAACTTTGTGGCAAGATCATTTTGTATTTAATTTCACTTATACCTGTCATTGTTCACTTAAAATTACATTGACAAATGAATGGATTGAAATAGTTCAAATTGTAGTTGTGATTATAGTCACTTTAAAATTTAAATTTTTTAAATATTTTGTATTTTCAACTTGTGCCATATGGGAATGTGTTAATATATGCTAATATTATTGACAATATATATAGTATTAACATTAGGATGATTATGCAGAGAGTAATAACATAGAATAAAAGTCCTTATCGCTTCTTGCACCACACCTTTCTAAACTATTTTTTTTGCATTTAATTTAATTGCTGTGATTACACTCTTTGTGTACTCAGCTTTAAAGAAGAGTACCAGAAGTCTTCATTTCAATTTATGAATTCACTTATTTATATGAGTACAAATACCAAAGAAACTACAATACAGCATTGCATCCATTTTTTCAGTGCTTCAGCAATTTGTGAAAATTTTTTGAAAACTTTATTTGAATGGATCTTTTAAGCAAGGAAAATGCTTGAGAGAGGGTCTCCCCAATTCCAGGAAAAAAAATCCATCTTTTAGACTAATAAACAATGAAGAAATTTATTGAAATGAATATAGAAAAAGAAGACTAGTATATAGTAAAGATCTATTTGGGTATTTTGGCACCTGTCTGATAGTGAATTAGAAACCCCTTAAATTCCTTACAAATTTGTAATGAAGTTTAAGAATCTTGCCATTGTTTTGTTTGTTGTAGGTTTAATATTTTGGGAAACATGGTACTGGAAAAAGAACAGACAAACTGACCAGTGGATTCAGATAGAAAACCCAGATATAATCCCATAGGTTTATGGGCAGCTACTCTTTGACAAAGGAACAAAGAAGATACAATGGAGCAAAGAAAGTTTGTTCATCAAGTGTTGCTGGGAAAACTGGGAAGAAACTAGATCATGCAAAAAAAAGCTAGATCACTACCTCACACCATACACAAAAATCAACTCAAAGTGGATTAAAGAACTAAGTATAAGAACAGAAACCATAATATACCCGGAAGCAAAGATGGGCCAAACACTACATGACATACACTTCAGCAACAGCTTTAAAGATAGAGCACCCAAACCAATGAGAGTGAAGGCAAGGATAAATAGATGGGATTACATCAAGTTAAAGAGCATCTGTACAGCAAGGGAAACATTACAAAAAA